ACATTTACTTCTTACTACGACGGTTGATTTTGATTTTGCTTCGTAGTTTCTCAATCCTTTTTATTTTTCTTTGTTGTTGCAACATTTTCATCCAACTCATTTTCTTTCCCATCTTCCCACCACCACTACTTTTTCCACTTACACCCTTTGGAACTATCTTTTTCTCACTTTTACCCTTCTTGGGTTTCTTGGAATCACGAGTGGAGTGTTTCAAGAAACCACCCACAAGTGCCTTCAACTGACCTTTCTGGTTTTTTTCTGCTACTTTATGAACCACCAACTGTTTCTGATTCTTGTCAACCACCTTTTTTCCATGAACCTCATCCTTCTTCTTCCCATGGTCATGGTCAACCACCTTTCCTCCATGAACCTCATCCTTCTTCTTCCCATGGTCATGGTCATGGTCATGGTCAACCACCTTTCCTCCATGAACCTCATCCTTCTTCTTCCCATGGTCATGGTCATGGTCAACCACCTTTCCTCCATGAACCTCCTCTTTCTTCTTCCCATGGTCATGATCAACCACCTTTCCTCCATGAACCTCCTCTTTCTTCTTCCCATGGTCATGGTCAACTACCTTTCCTCCATGAACCTCATCCTTTTTCCTCCCATGGTCATGGTCAACCACCTTTTCTCCATGAGCATCATCCTTTTTCTTATGGTCAACTGCTTTTTCTGCATGCTTTTGTGAGGATTTTTTGTGATTGTCTACATCACCATGATCTTTTCCTGTATGATCCGATGGAGATTTTTTGTGATCATCTTCAACATCATGATGATGGTGGTGATGGTGGTGGTGGTGGTGATGGTGGAAGATGAATCCCAACTTTTCTTTAAGTTGCTTCAACCTCGCAACTTTTCCTATCTTTGGTTCTTCCTGATTGCCCCTTTTGTTACCCTTTGTTGCAACCACCATCTTTAACTTTGACCTTGAAGTTGACTTTGACCCTGAAGATTCATCCGAGCTAACCTTCGGTTCTTTTTTATTACCCTTTTTGTACCACTTTGTTGGAACCATGCTCTTTAACTTTGACTTTGACTTTGAAGTTGACTTTGACCTCGAAGATTCATCTGAGCTAATCTTCGGTTCTTTCTCTTTCTGATTACCCTTTTTGTACCCCTTTGTTGGAACTATACTCTTTGATTTTGATTTTGACTTTGACCTTGTAGTTGACTTTGAACCTGAAGATACATCTGAGCTAACCTTTGGTTCTTTTTCTTTCTGTTTACCCCTTTTGTACCACTTTATTGGAACTATACTCTTTGATTTTGACTTGGACCTTGAAGTTGACTTTGACCCTGAAGATTCATCATCTGAGCTAATCTTCTTTTCTTTTTCTTTCTGATTACCCCTTTTGTACCACTTTGTTAGAACCATACTCTTTGATTTTGACTTTGACCTTGAAGTTGACTTTGACCCTGAAGATTCATCATCTGAGCTAATCTTCTTTTCTTTTTCTTTCTGATTACCCCTTTTGTACCACTTTGTTAGAACCATACTCTTTGATTTTGACTTTGACCTTGAAGTTGACTTTGACCCTGAAGATTCTTCATCTGAGCTAATCTTCGGTTCTTTTTCTTTTTTATTACCCCTTTTGCCCCACTTTGTTAGAGCCATACTCTTTGATTTTGACTTTGACCTTGGAGTTGACTTCGACCCAGAAGATTCATCTGTGCTAATCTTCGGTTCTTTCTGCTTACCCCTTTTGTACCCCTTTGTTGGAACCATCCTCTTTGGCGTTGACTTTGACCTTGAAATTGATTTTGACCCCGAAGATTCATCTGAGCTGATCTTTGAATCTTTTTTGTTGCCCCTTTTGTACCCCTTTGTTGGAACCATCCTCTTTGACTTTGACCTTGGCGTTGACTTCGACCCTGAAGATTCATCTGAGCTACTCATGGAAGGACTCTGATCAGGGCTTGAAACCGAATACATCTCACTCTCACTCTCACTCTCACTCTCACTCTCACTTTCACTCTCTTCATGGCCTTTGTAAGATCCTTCCATGTCACTACAAGTAGCATAATCTTGTTGACTTTCACTTTGACTTCTCAAACTTGATGAATAATTTGAGCTTGAAACTGGACTATCTGAAGTCACCGGAGAAATCGATCTTTTCCGGTCAACCACCGCATGTTTCCCTCTGTAATGATCCGGTTTCTTTCGCCTTGCGATTTCAGTTTCTTGAAGTTGACTATTATGTCTGCCATGGTGGGTTGACTTAACAGGTGGGGTCAACCATTGGTTAATTGTTTCCTTTTTAACCATCTGTAAAGCAAGATTCTTGTCGGGAATTTTAGTCAAACTTGAAGAAACTCCAGAAGCATGATGAAGATTATTATAAGTTTTCTCTGGTAAATAATCATAATACTGGTTTTCTTGATTGAACATTTCACTTCGACTAACATTTTCAGATGTTTGACTAATGGGCAACACCATATTAACAACTCTTGTAGTGAGTGGTTGAGCTTGCAAGGTCAACTCCCCATGCCATGGATCACTTCTACCAACAGAATAGTTTCCAATCTGACTAAATTGACCCCGGGAATCATTTTCAAGAAGATTGACACGATTGGATGCTAGTTGCAAAGTCGAAATGCAAGATTCTATTTGTTGGATTTTAGCAGAAGCTTCTCTTGATATTTGATCATCTTCATCATTTTGATTATATAAAGTCAGTGATTTCGGAAAGTCAACTGTTGATGAACACGGGAATCCTCCAACTCCAACTCCATAGGTGGTTGGGTTGTTTTGTTCTTCCCAACTTCTTTTATGATTTTGATGTTGGTTATCTTGAACTTGACTTAACTCTTTGGTCAACTGTTTGACTTTTGGTTTTTGGCATACACGGCATCGTTTCAGTTTGATATCTGCTTCATCTGCTAAGATTCCTTTTGACTGACCAAAAGAAAATTCTTGACTTAATGGCTCATTGAAGATCCCTTGACTGGTTCTTAAGTCAAGATTCTGAAGACTTGGAAATTGGGTGTTTGACCACAGGTTATAATAAGATGGTCTGAATTGAGTACCCACCATCTGATCATATAACCAATTACAAATCTAGTGTCAATTTTATATTACTCTCAGAAAGAAAGAAATTTCAAGTCATTGAATACCTTTGCATGAGCCTCAAAAGCTTTTTTGGCACTAGCATCCAGTAAATTTAGTAGTAGTTGTCTTGCGTTCTTGTCCAACTATTTCAGAACAAATATAAATCAAGGGATCGATTAATTAGCATATGAAAGAAGAAAGAACACGGAAACATACATAGATGCTGCAATGGAAGTAGATCACAATAGAATCAGTTAGATTCTTGATGAATCAATTGGCATCAAGGATTCATTTTTATAAAATGCGAAGTATCCGAAAAAAACTTATGTTAAGTTTGTAACTAAATCAAATTAAAGTTTGGAGAAGAGTACGACATACAGAAGCAAAAAGACTTACATTTTCAGAGACACGTTGATGGTCGTTTACAAGAAGGCCATATAATCGTCGCAAGGAGAGTAGCTCTGATCGTAGGTCCTCTGGATCCATCATCTGTGACTAGAACTCGGCAAAAACTGAAAGAATTCTACGATTAATTTAAGCCAATGATACTTTATACTTTTATGGCGATATTGTTTTCTAATCACATTGTTGACAGAGAAAGAGAACCACATGCCTGTTTTGACTTTCCCGATTTCAGAATTTTCTCTCATTACCCAAAATCTGATCGTCGGGTCTTTTAGGGCAAGTGGACAGCCCTAAATAGTAAATACTGTTAGATTGTTGAATTTACAACACACAAATGAAAGAAAAAGGAAAGATTGCAAGTGGTCTTTCGAAATCTGTCCTCCAAAAAATCGGGGAAAAGATGCCAAATTCATGGAGGGAGAATATGATCAGCGAACATCAAAAGCCACGTTTCTGTAATCAAGTAATCAATTTGTGTACAGATTAGAATCACAAGTACCTTCAATATCGTAAGTTAATGATGAACCACACAGCCAAAACAAATGCACAGATAATTCGATCGTCGTACGACGTAAATTCTAATAAGAATGAGACCGACAAATTCAGGTTTTTTCTGGTCTAAACTTTAAACCCATTCGATAACTGCCGCCATTTTCTTGAAAAGAATTCTTATACTCCTTACATTTGCCGGGAGAAACAGAATCATACAAATATCACTATATCTCACAAAATTTTAGAAGTTGTCCGTGAATTTAATAAAAATACAAAAATAGTTCCGCATTTCACAAAATTACAGAAATAGGCTCTTAGCAATAGCATAATTAAGAAATATTCCCATTTTTCCACAAAAATAGACAAATGTTCCCTCCCTAACGATCAAATAATAGAAATGGCTTCTACATTTCAAGGGTGCTTGAACCCGACGATGTAGTGAAGAAATATTGTGTATCGGAATCGACAGTTCTCGACCGATAAATGTTTCACAATGCTTAAGTTACAAATATGAAGAGGGTTTCAAGTTGACTCCCAAATGCTTGATGGGGCGGTTCATAAAAGGGTTGGAGGTATGGGATTTAATCATTTGGGGCATATATAGGTCGACATAAAATAAAGTGGAATGGTAGGTTATATGTGCATTTTATACACCTATTTTGCATGTTTAATTTCGTTATTTCATTGTATTCTACTTTATAATTCTTGCATTTAATTAATAGTTTGAGCGCTTTTATGTTTTATTCAGATTGTCTAGCACTTCCTTGTTTTTGAATTATTTTGTAGGCATTGCGGCTATCTCAAGTGTTAAAACGAGTCGTTAACGTCTAAACAAATAAAAATCACTGATTGGTTGCAGTAATGGGTAGCACACAGAAGTAAGTTTGAATTCACAGGGACACAACCTAAAAATCAACACATATTTGCGTAAGGCACATACTAGTCAGAAACATAAAATGTAAAAATGGGGTTTTTTGTTCAGAATATTAATAACTAAAAATTGTAGTGAAATAAAGTAAATAAATTCAATAATAAAAAGCATTGCAGTTCTTCTATGACCTTCCTAATTATGCAATTACTCTAGATATGGTTTTACCAAATTAATTAACTAAAACAAACTCTTCAGTTAATCTCAACTTTTTACTAACCTAACCAAACAAGCTCTGAATCAAATTAGAAAAATGAACAGTGTAAGATTCTCGGTAATATTCAATACTTCTCACAAGCTCAGAAGCGTAAAAATATATGATTGTCAATTTATATTAGAATTAAATCCCAACATATAACCAATCTGATACTTGTTACTTATTATCAATTTATCAAAACATTTACGGATTTCAACAATTAATTAATTAGAATGATTTAAATCTAATCGGGTGCTCAGTCTAAAAAGAACTAAAAATGAAACATTCATGAAGCATAAAATTGAAACCACTAGATAGAAACACAAAATAAAAAATAAAACTAATGATTTATCACATAAAAAGTACTAATATTTTACAGAATAAAAAACTAGGGTTTTAGCCATACATGGTGTAACACCCTATTCGGGATCATTATGTAATTCGGGGCCGTGACTCGAATATCAGTTATCATAAGGCTTCAGGCCTTGTGGGAAAGAGAGATTTAGACTCCTTTGGATGTGGGTAACAAAAATTAGGTGATCCGAGAGTTCGGTTGGTGCTTTGGAGCTCAAGGGTATAACCGTAAAGTGATAGTTTAAGCCTTTTATGAATTTTGGATTTAATTTTGGTAAGTTTTAAGGAAAATGATAGTTGATAGGGTTGTAGATATTCTCAACACTTTTCCGTGGATATAAAGATTGTCGAAATCGAAATTGAAACGAAGAAGTTATGACTTGGGCTGTAAACGAACCAAACGAACACGAACAAGGTCTTGTTCATGTTCGTTCGTTTAAGTTAGCCGAACAACAAACGAACACGAACGGATAAACGAACGAGATTTTCTTGTTCATGTTCGTTCGTTTAAAAAATCACTTTGTTCATGTTCGTTCATTTATGTTCGTGAACATGCTAAACGAACATAAATGAACAAACATAAACGAACAAAGATAAAAAAAACACAATTGAACATATATGAACATAAACGAACGTATAATATAGTAATATAATAGAAAATAATTGAATATAGATGAATATAAATAAACTTAAACGAACGAACATCAACGAACTTAAACAAACATTATAAACGAACGTTCACGAACATAAATGAACGAACGAGACCATTGTTCATGTTCGTTCATTTAACTAAACGAATGATAATTTTTGTTCATGTTCGTTCATTTATTAAATAAACGAACATAAACGAACTTCCCGCCGAACAGTTCACGAACGGTTCGCCGAACGTTCAGTTCGTTTACAGCCATAGTTATTACCATTTGAAGTTAGGGCAGTTTTGGGTTGAGCCATGTATGTTGGGCGTACTCAACGTGTACGTTGGGCGTACTACGACATCCCTAGTATGTTGGGTGTAAATTGAGTACGTTGTGCATATGTGATCAGGGCCCAAACCCTATTTTCGTGGTTTGAGCCCTATTTAAGCTCCTTAACTCCCCCAAACCCATTCAATTCTCAGCCTCCACCTCTCCAACACCTTCTCTTGTAACCCTAAACCTAGATTAAGCCTTGTGAGCAAAAAAAAAAGGTGGCTTTAAGTTCTTTGGAGTGTTCTTGGTGCACCTTAGAGAAGAAACCCATTGAAGAAGTGTTGGTTGCATTGGAGCTTGTAGATCCAGACTCTATTCACCTTGATCTTTCTTCTAGAGGTATAAAGTTTGAATCTTGATGATGAAATTGTTAGATCTAGCTAATTTTGGGTGTTATGAGCTTTTAGTCACTTTAAGTGCATAAAGTTTAGATCTTGAAAGTTTGTGACCTTGTTATGGATAAAGTTGGAAACGTTATCCATCTGAACATCATTGTGATTCAGATCTAAAGTTTGGAGATTTGTACTTAATGGATTAAGCTGAAAAAGATGCACTTTTAGGTTCCTTTGAGACTTAAAAACTAGATCTTGTTTGTTGGGACCATTCTAATGGACAAAGTTGGAAACTTGATCCATTATGGAGTTGTTATGAACCATAAAAATGTGATCTTAGCCCTTCTATCCCTTCCATACAAGAGTTGTGATGTCTTATTTGGTTAAGAACTTAGGGTTTTAGACATTAAGCACTTTATAACCATGTAAAGTCATAAACTTAGAAACTCTATGACTTAGGACATTATTTTGGGCTTGGATATGAGTTTTGGGCATAAGGGCTTAATGGAATAAGCTCTTAATGGATTTTTGGGACCGGACTGTATACGTTGGGCGTACCTGGTGGTACGTTGCACGTACGCGGTCAACGCCCATGCTTTTAGTCAACATCAGAGTACGATGGGCGTACTCCACTGGGAAGAAATATTGACTTTTAGACATTGACTGTTGACTTTGACCAAGTTTGACCCAAGGGAATTTTGGGTAATTCGATTTATAGTTTGAGATTTGGGTTCTTGTTAATTTTATAGGTTACCGGTAGATATAGCTTTTAGAGAAGTGATCAGTGCAACCATTCTTTCATAATGTGAGGTGAGTCTTCTCACTGTATCCATGGGTCGAAGGCACCAATGTCGGCCATTACTTGTTATGTGGAATGCTAGTTGTCTCTGTGATGCTTGCATGAAAGACCGTGATCTGGTTATTGGCAATTGTATGAAAGACCAAGATTTGACGTCTGGATATTGTATGGAAGACCAGGATCTAACCCCTGACAGTTGTATGAAAGACCAGGATCTGGCCCCTGATACTTGTATGTAAGACTGGGATTTGGCCCTCTACATTGCAAGGTAAGACCACGGAGTAGCCCATGACACTTGTATGTTTTGGTATGTGGTATTTTGGGGAACTCACTAAGATTTGTGATTACAGTTTCATATTTATGGTTTCAAGTATTTTAGGTTCGAAAGGGAAAGGCTCGACGTGATTATACAACATCCCCCCAGAGTTTTCCGCATTGACAATTAATGATATTACTCTGATGTTTAAATAATATATTCATTTTGATATGTTTTGGAACAACTTGTTTGTATGATATATTGTTTTAAAAATGAAAAAAAAATTACCTTGGGTTTTTGGGGTGTTACACATGGTTAAAATTAGATCTAGAACAATAAAAAAGTAAATTAAAAGATAAAACTAAACTAATTTGACTAACTAGTCAAATTTCAATATTCAAATCCTCATATATTGTCAGAAAATGTCAAAAACACTTGAAAACGTCTAAAAAGGCTCTGAAACTCGACTGCAATCATCTAGGATTCGACTAAGAAGATAAGGGAGTATTTATAGGTCAGAAACAAAAGCAAATAAGGACGGGAGATTTACACGATCATGTCTTCGAATATACAATCGTGTTTTTCAGTAAACGCGCGTCCAACGCCGGTTAAATAAAGTACGTTGCTATTTATGGACTTAAAAAAGAAAACACGATCGTGGAGTGTCTTCAAGGTTTTCAAGGTGAAATAAGTTGTGGGATGAAAAACATGATGGTGTTTTTTTTCCATGATCGTGTTTTTTTTCAATGATCGTTTTTTCCATGATTGTGTTTTTTTCCAAAAGCTCCAAAATGCATAAATTCATCCATAAAAATTCTTCGAAGCCTTTACACGATCGTTTTATAGGGAAACATGATTGTGTTTTTCATAATTTGCAGTGTATGGAACTATTTCTTCAATTAAGGCATCTTCTGATCATTCCTCAGCATGAATCATCGATTTCTAGCTCCACTAAGCTCATTAAATGCATCCAAGATGCTTCCATAAGCTTCCAGAATACTGCTCCTTTCGAAATACCTGAAAACGACATAAAAATATGAATAGTATGAGAATTCTTGTGAAAAACTTGAGTTAGCCATTATTTATACCGATACAAACATAAAATCATAAAATATGGCACAAAACACTAATAAAAACTAATAAAAAAGTTGCATATCACGACATCTAACAAATCTCCCCAAACTTAAACCTTACTTGTCATCACGTATTAAAAATATTAAACATTATAAACAAATGGAAAGATGCAGATGACCTAAAAAGGAACTTAGAATAAAAACTAAATAAAATTAAGGAAACTAAAAACTTAACTTTATGAACCAAAAATGCGTCACTCTTTTTTTTCCACATGATCAAACTTTACATCGAGGAAGTTCCAATGGAATCACTACCTAAACGCCAATTTCAATACCTTCCATGTATCACAGAGTTCAATGGTCAAAAAGACACTCAACGGTGTAAACCGATAAACCAACCATAAATTTTATTTAAATTTATATCTTAATTAACCTTCTTCACTAAAAAAACATATTTTCATCTTTTTTTAACTTCACCATGAAAACTAGACCTAACCCATCCTTAAAGACTCTGTCACGGCACATCAGCTTTCGTCGAAGCAGCCAGCCCACCCGAAGGGGCAGAATTCTCCTATGATTTCACTTTTTCTAAAGTACCATATACCATATCACATGGTTCTTCTCGTGTGCCAAATTTGACTTGAAGGTGG